AACCGATGTTTTACACTGTTTTCATATTGGACTTCACTTTATTTTACTTCATCACGCTAACGCAAAAACAATTGTGACATCACAATTGTGGGATATGAAAAAAAAATATCCAATGAGTTATATCCACAGGATAAAGGGGTAAACATGGGATAAACCGCAACAGAGAAAATAAATATTGTTAATATACTAAATGTCTTCCAATAATAATCTGTGTAAATCACTAACTAAGTTTCATCATCAGGCCTGCATGAGACCTGTACCTACATGTATGTGAGGGAGTCATGGATTTAAAAAGATTACCAAGATTCGACAACTTATAAAATGATGCACTGTTCAAGATATATAACTTATAAAAGTGATTGTATCAGTATATTAAATACATACTGCAAAAACATAAGGATGTTTTGCTATGTGTATTAACACGTAATATTATTATTAATTTCCCTTGAAATTTAATATGGTAAGAAATTTTTAATTTAATTTCTTTTCGTTACCATAAGCGAACTATTTAATGTGTAGAGTGTTCGATATGTTTTCTTGTAAGCGTATGAATTAGATATGCGCTTTATTATGTGAGTAAAATGTCTTGGGTATTTAAACAGCTGTTTGCGTATTCTATTCATTCGAGTTCATACTCAGCTAAGAAGTACAATGTCTGAAGAGAATCAACACGAACAAATTACAATAGAGAGGAGTAACGACGGCAAAACCGATAAAGAAAATGATAGCGCCATTTCTATAGAAGAGGCCTTATCCTTGTTTACAGGCAGGCTTAAAGGTGCATTGAGCGACGAACGTGCTCACATGAGACAAGAATTAGAGGACCGAGTATCAGAAATTCGTAGGAGCTTTATTCTGAACAAAACGGAGGACAAAAATACTTTCAAATACACTGGATGTAAGACTCAATTTGATTTTAATCAAAATAGAATTGCGGAGTTGGATTTGGTAGACGAATACCTGAAGTTTGGGAGAATCGAAGACGCTAAAGAAATTATAAAGTCGTCCCGAGACAAATTGACGGAGAGGAACACGCACGTGCGCATTGCCGACAAATACGGTTGGGACACACTTGATGAGTATTTGGGCGATAATTTGGTGGACGGTCCTGACGAGGCAAACAAACTTAGGAAAGCAGAGTCCAGGGCAGTGAAGCGTAGAAAGGAGAGAGCCGACAAAAAGCCATACGATAGAAACGGCGGCCCAGTTATGCGGAACGACCTTTTTCGTTTCAACAATACAGAAAATAGCCGACAGTATTTCGGCCAGTACCCAGCAGGAAACTACATCCGCCCTTGGTCAGCACCGACACAAGCTACCACATCTAGATTCCCCTTCGCCAAACCTACAGTCTGTTTCTATTGCTTCGAGGAGGGACACGTGTCAACCCAGTGCCCGCTTAAGATACCAGGAAGAGTGTCAGTCCCAACAGCCACTATTACCAGGTTAAAAAGTTTTATTCAAAATTTGCGGACAGTATGTCTGCTGGAGTTGACGCTTTTTCATATGATTGGAAATTTGATAATAACTGGATTGTTCCACCAGTTAGATTAGTTTCCAAAGTAATAGCTCATTTGTTAGCATGTAATGCTAGAGGGGTTTTGGATGTACCTAAATGGACTTCATCTCCTTTTTGGTCATGTATAGTAAATACTGATGGAACATATAAATTCTTTGTTAAAGAGTATGTAGAATATGTAAATCCTTCAAGGTTTTTTGTCAGAGGTTCACAGCGGAATAGTGTTTTTCATGAAAGAAAAGTTGCTTTCAACGTGATTGTAATGAGAGTAGATGCTAGTGGGAGATAAAAGTAGAAGCAATTTCAGTGTGAATTAATTTAAAAGTGACTGTTATAATTAAAATTCTGTATGATTATGTTAAAGACATTTGGCATCGAGGTAACTTTGTATATATGCTATATTGAACATGTTTGACACATCTATGTGTGTTTATTTATGTGTGCTATGTTTTACACTGCTATGTATGTTATAAATACTACGTTCGACACGACTACGTGTGTCATATATAGACTACGTTAGACACATCTACGTGTGTTGATTATATTCTGAGTTTATTTACTGTGTACAATGTATTTAGCCGTCATTGAGCATTTAAAAGGTTTTAAAAATTTTCTGAGAATTTTTCATTACGAAACTCATCATTTTTGTATTGTTTTTTCAGGAGTTATCTTCATCCACTTCTCAATGGACCAATTTAGAGAAGATTAAGGTCAACTTACCTGTGTTAGCTCCTTTAGTAAGAGAAGTTAAGAACATAGTACGGGCAAGTAAATCGGAAAACACCAATAAACAGTACGATTTTTATTTCAAGAAATTTACAGATTGGTGTTACTGCTATAAATTTTCTGCTCTTCCTGCAGATGTTTGTACAGTTGTTTTGTATATTTCTTTTTTAGTACAGAAAAATGTTTCAGTGTCCGTTTTGAATTCAAATTTTTTCAGTAATTCTTGGAAACATAATTTTCATTTAATGAAGAATCCCTGCGAGGAGAAATTTGCTGTATTTACTGTTGAGGGTGCAAGGAGAATTTTATCAAAACCAGTTAAAAAGAAGGAACCTATTACGGCTGAAATTATGCAAAAAATGTATGATTGCTTTGGTACATCTTCTGATTTGTTAAAGTTAAGAAATTACTGTATGTTTAGTTTGGCATTTGCAGGTTTCTTGAGATTTAATGAATTGGTAAATATAAGATTTTCTGATCTCAAATTTTGTGTTTCACATATAGAAATTTTTATTCCAAAAAGCAAGACGGACATTTTCAGGAAAGGAAACAAGCTGTATATAGCAAGAACTAGTAACGATACATGTCCCGTTGTTTGTCTTGAAAGGTACATTCAGGTAGCTAAGATTAGAAAAAATGAAGAATTTCTGTTTAGAGCATTACAATCTAAGCTTGGTTCAAATTGCCTGAGTACGTGTAATAAACCAATTTCTTATTCCAGAGTAAGAGAATTGTTTAGGTCTGTTTTAGATACAATTGGTTTAGAAAAAGAAAAGTTTGGGCTGCATTCGTTGAGAAGTGGAGGAGCAACTTCTGCAGCTAATAACTCGGTGTCAGATAGATTATTTAAACTTCATGGAAGATGGAAATCTGAAAATGCAAAAGACGGTTATGTACAAGATGATGTTAAGTCCAGATTGTCTGTTTCTCTCAATTTAGGAATCTAATATTAAACGCTTTGTGTTTCGAGCTGAGTATACAACTCATAACTAATAAATGTTTTGTTTATTCTGAATTTAGTCTCTTTTCAATTATGGTTCAGAAAAGAAATGTTTTATTTGCGGATGAACAGAGTGAAGGAGAAAGTAAATATTCCCGGGGCCCATTGTCACATCCATTAAAATCACCTAAAAGTTAAAGATTTAAATAAATGCTACGAATAAAATAAACAATAAAAACATTCCATTGAACTTACCAATATATTTATTAGCAATTAAAAGTTACATAATATATTGAAGCAACAATTATAGAGATCGGCTTTATACAAAAATATAGTTTTGAAATCCTCACAACCAGACTTTCTTCAGCTCATATTTTCCCTCCTTTTAATTTTGGCAAAACAACTTAGTTTAATACAATACATACAAGTACTATTCTGTACATTTCTGTGTATACTATATGTTAAAAAAATTGTAAAAAGAATTCAGGGCTTTAGGCCATGATACTACATGTACGTACTATTAAACATTATTGTTCAAAATGTTCTGCTTACTGAATACTAAACATATAGAGAAAAGTATTACATGTAATACTTTGCCTCCAACACATGCTTATTTTGAAAGTAATTATAAGTCCTAAGCATATCATTCTTTTCCTATATGATTTTCCAAAGCAGCTTTTATGAACACAGAAACTCTGAATAATAACTTAAAACAAGGGCCTTTAATTTTTTTTGTCACTTGAAACTTAGCAAAATTATTATATAAGGAAGTGAAAATAGTGAAATGTAAAATCACACAGGGGAAATCAGTAAGCATTTCCTTCATTGGGAAACTCAAGTGAAATCTATATACATGTATATTCCATCTCCTGTGTAAACTAATTCAGTCAATGCCTTTTGTAAATTGGTACAATTTGCATAAAGCAATTGAGGTATCAATTGGTTGCATTTTGACTTAGAATACAGACAGTATATTATACATGTATATCATTTTATTAACATTAAAATTATATCAAGTTTTACATACAACTGTTTTGAACACAATTATTAATTTTTTTTTATAAAACACTTGAAGACTAGCATGTCCTTTTATAATTATGCATAGTAAAATATAATGTAGCAATGAAAATATCAATATGATAAACAAGCTCTTTTAAATATAAATAACATATACTTGTATTAAATTAATGAACCAGTTGGTGCATTCAACTCTGATGTATTCCCACACCAGTACATAAGGTTGTTGACAACCTCTAGAAACCTCTAGAATGTTGAAGTCAAGAAGTAAAATTACATGTATATATTTTTAATAATTTCTCTAGTTTCAAAAATATTCAAAGCACATTTCCAACATAATACCATTTATTACAAATATTAAAAACATTCTTCTAGTAAATCTACTTGAACAATTTATTTTCTTGACAGTACATGAAATTTTTGACAAGCAAGACCTCTATTATATCATTTCAAGTTAAGATGTAAAGTTAGATCTTTTCAAATACTTCTCAAGTTTCAAATACATTTTGAGCACATTTCTAAAATGATACCTCAGGAGAAAAAATTAACAAGTTTTTAATACTTAAAAAAATGGGGGTTGAGACGAATTTAATACATAAAGTACATAGGGGGGAATGAATGCATATACTTAAAGGGTATGGACAGCAATAAGGTCCTCTCATTGATCTAGGATCTGAGGGTGTCTTCCCCCTTACTTTGTGGTTTGTATATGAGCAGTATGTCTTCATCTGTTCCATGGCTCTTGCGAGCTTTGTCAAACTTGTCCATCCGGGAACAGCACATATCTATCAATGTAGATGTCAGCTTTAAAAATCTTTTAAATATACATATTAAAAGAAGTTTTCTCTCTATATATTACTAACACCTGTGTAAAAGGTAATATTTCACAGTACATGTCTTTAAGTTTAATACATGTATATAATTCTAAATCTTATAAACTGCTCATTGTTAAATAAATCTTACCCTCATCATAGGAAGGATTTTTATAAAAAATCCATTTCTTTTTCAAGTCAAATCCACACACCACAACATAGTGACCTACAAAACAGTAGAAAACTCTATCATAGAATGTCCTTACAGTCCCTGAAACGTTCTACTTTCCCTCCTGAACGGTGAACGAACGGTGAACGAACGGTGAACGAACGCTGAACGAACGCAGAGCGAACGGTGAGTGAACGATGTGCGAACGGTGAACGCAACTTGGTGAACGATGTGTGAACGGTGAGTGAACGCAGAACGCGAACGGAGCACGAACGCGAGCGCAAAGTGAACGGTGAACGAACGGTGAACGCAAGATGAACGATTTATTCGGAATGCCTTCGGTGTTTTCCTTGTATTGAAATCATTCTTTTATTCCATAATTCAAATGTAAAAAATAAATATAAATACACAATAGATAAACAAAAGAGAAATAAATAGATAAATAAATAAATAGTAATAAAAAAAAAATTCGACACATACCTATGTTTAAATCGATATTTTAATAACATGATTTTAATCGCCGTCAAACGTGTATTTGTTACCGCGTGTACTTTAAAAATAAATTAATCTACTTATATAGTAAATAATTATGCTTATTCTTTTCAATAAAAAAATAATGTGGACTTCTGAAGATAAAACTGCTACTTATAGAATGAATTAATTACATTGTACGCGGTTGAAACAACCGTGCATGTATTTCCGTGTCAAAGCGATTCTGAGTAAAATAACGGATTTTTTTTAAATTCACAATTATCTTTGACATTGACTGTTATCGTACTGCATAAAAATTCTCATTTTATTGAAATTCTATTGCAAAATATTCTATATTTATGTGCCTTTTTATTCTTTTATGACGATTATTTTAGCTAACTTCTTCATGTATCTGTAGACATTTCCCGGCCGTGATTATACTCGGTCAAGATGTTGGAAAGAGGCATTCAAATTATTTGTAATACATGTTTAGATTAAATTTTCAAAACTAAATATGTAATGTGTTGTCATAGTCTTTATTGAACAGAGAAATGTACGAGAGAGAGAGAGAGAGAGAGATAACCCCCTCGATTCTCAGATATATGTAGTATCAAATAAAAATTCTAATTATTTTTTCCTAAATATTCCAAGCAATAAAGGTAATAAAGGTAATCTTTTTTTTAGATTAACATTTGGCAGTAATCATTGGCTTTTATTTTCCATCATCAAGTTCACACAGTTCACAGGAAGTCCGTGCTATATTTGCAGTAGCGTGCTTGTGCTGTCAATCAAAATGATTCGACACAGTCAGTGGAGGTGTTGAAATCGCGTTTCACCGAACATGCCGAAGGCAAGGAGTCACTTAGTATTCCAAGGAATTTTAATATTTTTCCCTATCATTCTAGATCTGATTTTTGCATTCCTGCAGAAAAAAAATAATTCGAATATATACTTGGAAGGATTAAGTTTAAAATTAAATGCGAAACATATTCCCTGCCAATTTAAAATACTACTGTCGGCACAAGTTTATACTAAAATACTATTGTTTAATGACTGTTTGATGTTGGTTTTAAGACTGATTTTCTTGTGTTACAATAAAAATTAAATATTAATTAAAATATACCGAAAGAACTCAAATAAGAATTTTATTTCGGGAGAAAAGGCACCGGGGGGGAGGGGGGGGGGGGGTCTTAATTATACTGAATAGCAAAAAAGATTTTTTTAAACATGTTTAGGAACGGAGAAGGAAGGAATTTTTTTCTCTAATAATAGACTATTTTAGACAGTTGGTCATTTCTAAAATTTTAAAACCACACCATCAATTTAATTAGCTCTAAACATATTTAATTAACTGAATATTTGCATTACTGTTCATAATTCTCATACCTACATGTAGTTTAAATACGTGTTACTGTAGGAATATTTTTTTATGTATTCTTGTCCTGTAAAAGACTTGGATTAATTATTATACATCCATGAATAATTTGTCCTCTTTAAAATTACGTCAAATTGATGCCGTGCGTGAAGCATTTGTACATTTTCCTTTTTTGAATTTAATATTTTAGCATCAATCTACATACATTGTATATGTAGGTACTTAATGTATTAATTATTTTCCAGGGAAAATTCATGAAATAAGTAACAGCTGAGTTATAATAATAGAAATATAAATATCATAGATAATTTTTGCAATGAAACAATTATTCTTTAAACACGATAAATAAGTTATTTAATTAAAAAACATGTATATCCTTACCATCAAAAAGATAAGTCCTTTCACTTTGGAGTTCCGAATGACAATGAAGACTGAACGATATAAGTGAACGGTGAACGCAAAGTAAACGGAACGAAGAGCGAACGGTGAACGTTTTGTGAACGGTGAACGCGAGCGCACGGTGAACGCAATACTGTGAACGAAGAGCGAACGGTGAACGCACGCTGAACGAACGGTGAACGAACGCTGAACGAACGGTGAACGAACGGTGAGCGAACGGAAAAATGGGAAAGTAGAACGTTTCAGGGACTGTAATACATCAGATGTCCAAAATGGAAAAAGAATTAATTGATAACTGATCCTGCAGATTCATCTAAAAATATAACTTGAAATGCTTAAATGAGCTTTAATTTTTTATCCTATGCATGCCACAGAATATTTTTATTCATTTACCCTGATATGTTTTGCAACAATGCCCACACCAGTTTAAACAATGCTGCTTCTGAAAAATGAAAAAAAAAGAAACCTGATAATATTTTTCAATAATTTAAGATAATAATATAACCGTATTTGCTCTCTATAATAATCCGTTTTTATGCTTTTGAAAAAGAAAAGATGAGACAAATTTAACTACATATATATAGGGGGTTCTTCGATTATACAGTCATGCAAGATAAAAACTACTTTTCAAAGAAAGAAGTATCTTGATGCATAACAGTCAGAGTACCAATTGTAGCTATTGTTAAGATATAATAGTGTAGTATACAGAATGAGAAAAAAGAGTATTCAATATACTAACCACCCTGTCACACCACATACACTCAAGTGAGCTCCAATCAACCAGGCATATCATCAGATTGCCCCCTGATAGGTGACTTATTATGTCTTTCATGCTTAAAGACCTGTCAACAGAGACCAAAATGTTAAATATTTTTATACAAATGATGTTTTTATGACAAAATCCCAAAACTATTGTTGTTCATGGATGATCTTTTTTGCAACAAAATTGTACATATACAGTATGTAGGTAATTTTTTTTTTTTATCTCATATCTATATGCATACTCTTTTTATGCCAAAACTGGATTTTAATTATAATTACTAGAGAGAGCTTACATGACTCCCTTTAATTAATGCTAAACTTGTCTCTTAAAGGATAATATATTTATGTTGCATAAGAATAAAATTTAAAAAAAAAAATATTCCAATTACCTTTTGGAAACATCAAGTCCTGATTGGGAAGCCTCAGCAAACTTTCTGCCAACCCTTTCAGCATCTTTGTCAAAATTACGCATATAGAATGGCTAAAAAACACACAAAAATTCATGCATCAAGATGTTAACAAATACCTTATAAATCAATCATTACGTAAAAACATATTTTATCAATGACAAAGTTGCTCCTAAAAAACTTAAACATTATATAATAATTCATTAATGAATGCATCATTACCTTTCTGGCATATTGGTCGTCCACCCCCAGAGTAATCGTGGAGAATTCTACCCTGACTTTGTACTTAAGTAAAAGATATCCCAAATCAATGGTCCATATACTGCAACAATAACAACAGTCAAAATCATACTTAAGTAAAAGCTATCCAAAATTAATTTGTTTAATGATACCCAAGATATATGAATATCATTTCCCGATTTTCCATAGCTGACTTTTGTTGTTCTTCTATTAGTACATAAAATTTAATAGTGTGCAAGAATTAACTTGATGATAAAAACATACTGTACGTGTACAAAATTTAGTGCAATCAATGGATATGGAGTGATTGGCGTAATCAAGATTTAGCGCTACACATGTTCGTGCCATATATTCTATTTATAAATGAATTCTTAGCAATATTTATGAATTAGCTCATTTTGTCTGCACCAAAGCTGCTAAATTATGAAGCATGCTATTTTATGTACACATACAGTATATTTGTGACCAGATGCATACCTTTGACCACACTGAAGTTCATCCAGATCACTGGTATAAACACAGGAATCATCTTTTCCCAAATATCTACATTGATACAAAGTTTAACATAACGATTATTTTTTGTGCAAATACATTCAAACTTAGTACAACATTATATGCAGTATCTTATATCGAGTTCTTCAAGCTGGGACATTTAAAAGAAAATTTAAGATAGAAGTACTGTATGCACACTCACAAAATAATGCCAATACACTTTTTTTTTTAATTTTTGCATACAAGTACATGTACTCATACAATGAATGTTTTTCTTGCAAGGTTATGAACAAAAATAGCCTATAAACTGATAACAAAATAAACTGGTTCAAGAATAACTGTTTTAACTTTACAGACTGTGTGATGCAACAATCAAAATAATGATTTTACTTTAAACTTTCTTTATGAATTAGCCTATATCATGAAAATGATGACATATTAAAATATCATGAACATGATGATATATCAAAATATTGACCATAGCATGAATCATGACATATTAAAATACTGACCTTATCACAAATCATGACATATTAAAATATTGACCTTTATAGCACAAATCATGACAAACATGTATTAAAATATTGACCTTAGCACGAATCATGACATATTAAAATATTGACCTTAGCACGAAGCATATGACATATTAAAATATTGACCTTAGCATGAATCATGACATATTAAAATATTAACCTTAGCGCAAATCATAACATATTAAAATATTGACCTTTATAGCACGAATCATGACATATTAAAATATTGACCTTAGCACGAATCATGACATATTAAAATATTGACCTTAGCACCATACAACAGCAGGCCAGTCCACAGTCCCAACTGTAAATCTGCATACATGTCTCCAGCTTCAGCAGAAGTCTTTCTTCCTGAAAGACATCCTGCTTTTGATCTACAAAGACGGGATATTTTTCTTAAAATATACAATGTTCTTACACATGCATTTTACTTAAAAATGTAATATTCTACAGATTTGTGTGTATCTGTACCTAACTGAACTGTAACAATGTTATGTAAAATGTTTCTGTGTATATGAACATACATATAGTCATGAAATCATGTTTTATTCACAGTAATTTTTTTTGTTGAAACATTATAAATTATTTGCCTAGCCATATTTTTTTGTAAAACAACTTCACTCTTTACCACGGCAGGGGCTGACAAATACCACTGCCCGACATCCAGGACTAGTGAATTTTTGAGGTGAGAATATCAAATGAAAGTGTGTAATTGGCACTGCATGGACAAAAGGAGAAATTTATGACAGTTATGATCAAAGCATAGAAAATGATCAAATATGCTGATAAGTATACATTGTCCATAAAAATGTTTAGTGGGAGAACTACAAAACTGCAGCTACACATACAAGTATGAGAAAAGAAAACATTTATTTTTTTAAAAATAGCAAGATTTCAGAATCTTGAGTATACATCTGAAATATGATAATCAAGTGACCCAGATTGTATTATACTTAAGAAATAAAGTCAGCATTTTCATGAATGTTGCAGAATAACCTCCGAGGTCAAGAAATGTTGTTTGAAAGATAAAAGCCGAGGTGTTAGCCGAGGCTTTTATATTTCAAACAACATTTCTCGAAAACGCGAACTTTATTTCTATTCTACTACATGTACTAGCAGCTCTAAAATACGACTGATCGTTTCCCTATAGAGAAACAAATTAGGTCACCATGCTGCGATATTGCTGTTCCATTTAGCACCAGAGTGTAAATTTGTTTGTTTACCTATGAATAGAATGCAGATGATTTTTTTTCTCTGCATTAAAATTAGCCTTTTATTAATTATAAATCTGTTTAAAGCTTATTTAGATTAATATTTTTGAATATACATTTTTAACAAAATCAGTTTTCTATTTTACCACTTTATCTCTAAAATCACGCACGGAGGTTCGTGAAACAGCCCTGCTTGGCCTTAGAAACCTACATTCATCAGCTACCTTCAGCAATATACAGTGTTTAAATTGCAAAAGACGACGCATCAATGTGGACTAAATAAATATTTCATGCTTAGGCCGTAATAAAAATATTCCTAGATTCTCATCCCCGCCCGCCCCGATTTTATACCCCCGCCTCGATTTCTTTTATTTCTGATGAACACACCAAATAATAGCACAGGGGCTTGTCACGAAATATTTATCTTCTTTTAATAAAGTTACCCCTATTATAAAAATACAGAATTTGACTGAAGAATATTAAAATTGAATCTATACTCCACTCACTCCTACTTCTGTATCTGTATTGTTACATCACAGTAACCCCGTTGGGCTTTGATGTGACGGATAGAGGGCGCTTTAGTCGCGAAGATGTTCTATCGCCGACTTAAAGCTTTCTAGCTTTGGGGCGCGGACCGCTTTCTCTTCCAGGTGGTTCCAGTCTACAGCTGTGCGTACAAAGAATGAATTCTTCAGTTGGTCTGTCTTTGTATCAAGTATCTCAACTGCACGGCTGTTATTCCTGATCCTATTACTTATAATATTTGTCGCTTGATAGTCCTCGTACACTTTCGGTCTGATGTTTCTTTTCGGTTTTTGGAATTTTATATATTGGTCTGATTTAATAGCTGGTATCTGCCCCTCAACCACTTTGTAAAAAAAGATTAGACGTTGTTGTTGGCGTCTGGTTTGTAATAAAGGAAGGTCAAGATCTTTAAGCATCTTTGTCATTGTACCCTCTTCCCTTGATTTATAGTCTTTGGTTATAAATCTTGCGCCTCTTCTTTGGATGGATTCTAATTTTGTTGATTCTTGTTTGGTGTATGGATCCCAGATGACAGCTCCATACTCCATTATGGATCTTACTAGTGCTATATATGCAATCTTTCTACATTCCCTTGGACAGTGTTGTAAGTTCCTTCTTAGGAAGCCTAGGGTGGAGTTGGCTTTATTTGAGATGTTGTTTATATGTTCTTTCCATTTCAGGTCTTCTTGTATTTGTAGTCCTAAGTAGGGATTTGATGCCACTTGTTCTAAGGTGTGGTTCTCAAGGGTGTACTTGGTCCGCAACGAAAGTCGCCCAGAAACGAGATAGAAAGTCCGGTCAAAATTTGTGGTAGCGAATTTCCTATTTTTAGATTCCTCTCTTGTGTATTTTTATAGTAGGGGTAACTTTATTAAAAGAAGATAAATATTTCGTGACAAGCCCCTGTGATAAAAGTGACAAATATGATATATGCTCATTGATCATTACAGAACACCTTTCTCAATTTACCTCCACTCTCAGCCATTATTTAGTAAACCAGTCATTGCTGTAAAATTTGTTTAACAGCACCGTCATGAGCAACTTGTCAAAATCGGATTATAAATCGAGGAAAACAAATCCGAAATTGCGACTCACGTCAGTCACGAAATTTATGGAATACCGAACCCGATCTCGTCACGCACTATCTCTGAGCGGATCAAAGATCTAGTCCTAATTAATTTAGATGGCACGAAACTATGGCAAGCCCTTTTACTATTTATTCGTAAAATAAATTTTTCTTTCAAAATGAGAGATATCTCTCTAGCATAGAGAGATATCTCTTTAGCTTATGTAGATATCTCTTTAGCTTATAGAGATATCTCTTTGACTAATAGAGATATCTTAATACTTTAGAGAGATATCTCTTTCAACAAAAGAGATATCTCTTTTTGAAAGAGAGATATCTCTTTTAGTAAGAGAGATATCTTTATAAGCTAGAGAGATATCTCTTTAAACGAGAGAGATATCTCTTAAAGTTAAAGAGATATCTCTTTAACAAGTTTAAAAGAGATATCTCTCTTAATTAGAGAGATATCTCTTTAGATTTTCAAAAAGAGATATCTTTCTAAGCTAAAGAGATATCTCTTTTAATGAAAGAGATATCTCTTTTCCAATCACCCTTAAAATAAAATAACTAATTCTCCCGTTAAAAACGAAAGCGAAACAGGAAGTAATGTCTGTTAAGTCGTTCGTTTTCTGGTTATTGAAAAGAAGAGGATAAAATGGACTGATTGATACAGGTAAACAACGTTTAATTGCTTTATTGTTTTAAGCGA